TGGAAGGATGCCAAGGTCACTCTCAGACCATCGTCCTCAATGCCAAGCATCTTGAACGTCTTCACCATCTGCTCGAGCCATTCATCCGCTTTCAAAGGCTCTTTTAGATCCTCCATAAACTCATCCAAATTAGACTGAAAAACTCCATCTTCAGAAAAGACGGCCTTGTTTAAGCAATATGGGCCTAAACTTGATTCTCAGTTCTGAGAATGTCCATGGATTCCTGTAAAACCCCCGCCATTTCACAGGCTAAAGTGCCCATGGCCTGCTGACCAACTGGTTCAGCCACATTAACCTGATCAACCCATAGTTTAATTTTGTCATTTAAAAAAAAAAATCAAATTGAATAGTTTTTGAATAAAAAAAAAGTAATTAAATAATTTTGATAATCCATGGTTTTTTTATATGTATTTATTATTAGTATTGGACAATTTACTTGATAATCTTTTGGTTATGTTGAGTTGGATTGTTATCCAAAAAAAATGTTATCAAGTTGTTGTATTATGTTCAATATTTGTAAAAGTTTAAACCGTCAAATTGATTTGCATCCATCCGCCAATCCGTTTAATCCGCATTCACCAAGTCGGCGGACTTATGGGAATTGATTTTTTTTCAATCTGCTAATCTGGAGGACGGATAGTGGATTGATAGTTTTCCGGCCGTAACCAAACCACGAGCACCCCTAATTGTTTGGTTTTGGCAAATAATATATATATATATATATACGGGATAATTTGGTCATTTTGTAGAAATTTGTTCTTTTGGACAAAATATTTGAGTTTCTAAACCTTTGGCCAAGGAAAATTTAAATTTGAATTTATCAACCGAATGCCCAATTTTATTCCAATTAAAACTTAATACAAAAATAATTATATCCAAAACTTTTCAAATTCTTCCATTCTCCAAACTTTTAGCATCAACCTGTTTTTACTGAAATTTCAATTTTTTCATTGAAATACTTCATAACAAATGTAACTGTTTACTCAAATTTCAAAGTAAAAATATAAGGATTGAAGATTGCGCAACATGATTCGCAATTTATTTTACATATAATGTGTCAGAAAAAGATGTATTGTAACATAAGTACTAATTTTATTTTTTTAAGTGCTCTTTGCTTTTGGGTCTGACTTTCTTAGTGCTTTATTAATACAACATGCCGCCTAAAAAATATTTAAAAAAAATCAACAATGAATATTAATTTCAAATTTTGAATTGAATAATAAACTTTAGATGTTCAGTCTTCTATAAAGGCTGCTGGCTGCACATGAGAAAAGAGGAAATAACAATACAAGATAGGTTTAGAATAAAAATTACAAATTAATGATAAAGTTTACAAATTTTAATAATTAAAATGTTACAACTTAATTCTGATTTTCTCAAAACTATTAGGGGCTTCAGAGTTATGACATGTCCATGCCCCGATCAATTAATAATTGTCATGCTTTCATAGTTTTTCCCCAATCAATAATAAAAATTCGTGAGTCATATCATCTCCACCAATTACATTCGATTTAGGAATATCACACAACCGTGCCCATAGACTTCCAAATTGCATTACTTTAATTACATTAATTTTGTATTTTAAATTTTCACATTGTATTAATTTAGTTCAATTAATAATATTTGCTTTAGTAATTGTACTTAAATCAATGAACAAAATAATTTATTCACTCTCCAAAGTAATTTAGGAGTTGATGTCCAATTTATAAAGCTATTTCTATTTACACCACAAATGTTTGTGAAAAAGTAGAGTGAGTGAGAAAAATAACTAATTTGGAACTGTTAATAAAAAAAGGATAAGATAAATAGTTAAGTAGTCAAATGGACTTTTGGAGATCGAGGGACTTGAACCCTCACAATTTCTAAAGTCGATAGATTTTCTTCTTACTATAAACTTCATTGTTGTTGGTATTGACATTTAGAATGGTCAGGATGTGGAATTAGTTATTGAGATTAGATTAATGATTAGTTACACCTAGGAGAGTTGCATGTGATCAATTGTAAACAAGCTCTTGTACACCCATCTTCAAAGCCCGTCCTAATGTTGATAAGGCTTCAAGAGTAGTTACTAAGCAAGTGAAGTAAAAATACGCTAGTTAATCTAAGGTATAAGCGAGAAGCTCTGCTAGGGTTTTTGGTTTTTTGATGGGCAAGCGTTCGACAAGAGGTTCTTTTTCAATGGAGGCTTATTGAAAAAGTCATTCGCTTGTCAATTCCTGGAGTAATACTCATAAATAAATGATTGGTGCCAGAATTTTTTACTGATCAAGTGTGATTAGTCTTTATCATCTTAGTGGCATTGCATCTAAGACCACTCTTAGTGATTGAGAGGTTGTGGGTGGCCAAGAGCGTTCCACAGGGGGTTCATTTGTTGCACCTCTCTATCACCTCTTCTTCTTCTTCTTCTTCCATTTCGATCTAAAAGTCCTAGATCTCAATCTCTCTCTCTCTCTCTCTCTCAAGCGGAGGAAATAGTTGTAATGTAATAGAGAGAAGGCTTGGAAATAGTGGAGGTAGTGATTGGGGTTACGTTTGAAGTTTGAAGTTAGAGTTTGAAATGTTCGCGCGGGGGGGGGTTGTATAGCAAAGATGAGTGGTTAGGAATTATGATATATTTGAAATTATAGAAGGTATAATGAGATAAAATTAAATTTTAAAAGGAGTGCAATTAGAAAGTTGGTGTAATAAGATTAATCTTTGTATAAATAGAAGCTCCCTGTATGAAATAGTTCATTCCCTTTTGAATAGGACATATAACCCTTAATTTTTGTTCTTTTTTTTTTTGGCAGATATTATTAATTAGATTAATTTGACACAATTAGAAAATTTAGAAGAAAAATTTGATACAAATAAAATTATAGAGACCAAATTAATAAAAAAAAAAAAGTCAAATTACAGAGATCACAAATATAATTTACCCTTATTAATCCCAGTCATGCCTATTACATCAAACAAATCACCAACCAAACCATATAACTAGAAAGTCAATAATCACCACTAGTTACATGCTATCCCTATATTAGAAAAGAATAAACATAACAATTGAATCTGTAACTTCACACCACAAACTGGCGTTACACAACTAATAGGCAAAAAACTCTAGTAGTATAATAGACCCTAAAAGGTCAATGAAACTCAACACTCTAAACCCCCCAACCCAACAACTATTCAATCCCCACCCAACCAAAAACAAAAATAGCTAATAGCTCCCAACATAATTTTCTTCTCTCAGAGGTCAATGAAGAACCACACCCTATGGCTGTTCGAAAATCCGTTTAAATCGGTAATCCAGACCGAATTAGATCGAATTATACGGTTTGGTTTGGTTCTATTAAGAATTGGTTCGGTTTCGGATTAAGAAATATGAGAACCGTAAAAACGGTTCGGTTAATGGATTTTATGAAAAAATCGTGGTTCGAACCGAACCGAACCAAATTTTGAAAGATATATATATATATAATCTTCTCTCACATCAATTTCTTTTTCTTTTTCTTTTTCTTTCTTTTTTTCTTTATTTTTTTTACGCTGTGTTTAAATTTTGTTTGGCTGTTGGTTATAGGCTTTTCAGAACATTATTTACGCTAAGTTTGGTTGAGAAATTTGAGAAGATATTTAAAAAGAAAAAAAAAATATGAAATTAAGTAAAATATAAATATATTCTATTCACAATTTACTTACATTTTCCTTTTATTTTTTTAAATCTTTTCACAAATCTCTCAACCAAACACAACATTAGTGCCCCAAGTTGTGTTCTTCCCAATCGAAAAAACCAACTCAAATGATACCTTAGGCTACGATCCATTCGTGCTATGGTGCATTTGGCTTGGAAGTACTATAGGGTTGGATGCTTCATCTTTAAAACACTAATGCTTTATTTGATTTATTAAAATAAGATGAAATAAAATAAAATGAACATTCTTTAAACCCTATTACGTGATAATCATGGGGAAATTACTATCAAACACAACATTAGTGCCCCAAGTTGTATTCTTCCCAATCGAAAAAACCAACTCAACTGAGACCTTAGGCTACAATCCATTCGTGCTATGGTGCATTTGGCTTGGAAGTACTATAGGGTTGGATGCTTCATCTTTAAAACACTAATGCTTTATTTGATTTATTAAAATAAGATAAAATAAAATAAAATGAACATTCTTTAAACCCTATTACGTGATAATCATGGGGAAATTACTATCAGTGGGATCATGAAAAACATATTACATATGCATAAAAAAATTTACTATAATTTTAATTATTAATATTGATAAAATTTACTGTTAATTTGAAATTTTAGACTGATGTAAAATTTTTCCAATAATCATTCCCTTACAATAATGAATAATAATTTCATTAATAATGCAATTTTTCATTTTTTTTTACAATCAACCAAACATAGAAATAAATATTTTGATAAAATAATCATTATATTCTATTCCATTTTACTAAACCAAAAACTACCAGGCTTGTTTAAAAAAAATATATATATATATATATTTGGATCTAGTGTTATATTTAGATTCATCAATTCGAAAAGAAAGAAATAATTTATTTTCTCCCCATCTTTTCTATATATATATTTTTTTTTATTCTCCACAAATCTATAACGTACGAAAATAAATCTACATACATCTAATCCTGTCTAAATTCTTAGCAGAAGCCTTATGCACCCAAACTACCCTTTTGCAAAAGCTCTAATGCTCTGTTTGATTTACCAACATAAAGTGAAATAAAATAATTATTAATTTTATCATAATGTTCATTCTCAACTTTGGTTCACTAAGAAAAATAACAAAAAATGTATTACAAATTGAATCATCACTCATTAGTGTAAATTAATTCATCATTCCATAAAAAGGTTAAAAAATAATAATTTCATTCCATTCTATTTAATATCAGCAAACCAAACACTACACAAGTATTTTCATGAATGGGCTACGAAGGAAATCATAGCTTCGTTATGTTGCAATCGCAGCCAGGCTACAAACACAAAAACAAAAAAATGGAAATTCTCAACAAATCATGGGAGAAATTACTGTACCCAATTAGTTGATCTATCATTTGTTACTCTAAATATTTTGCATTTGTTTCAGAGTATCTCAAAATTACACGGAAGTCAAACACTATAAAATCACAAACTAAATGAAAAATGATATTCACAAGTTATTGTCTACCAATCCAAACTTTACATATGAACACTACAAGTCAGGTCCCTAACCTCTTAACGCCGCATTCCGAACAGAACTTAGAGGTCTCTCTCAAATATGGAGCTCCACATTCATCACAAAACTTTGCCTGTAATTTGAGGCAAATGATAACAGATTAGTGAGCATGAAGTTAGCGGAAAAGGGATGAAATATGTAAACAAATGTTCATCTAGGGCATTTATAGGTGTTCACATCTAACATGCGAACATCTGTATATCCGTGTACTTTGACACATAGCAGGCTGACTCAACCCTAGGTCAATAGGATTTCAAGGTGTTCGCATTGCATATGCAGACATCCACATATCCTTGTACTTTGACACATGGCACACTGACTCAGCCCTAAATTGATAGGATTTTAAGATGTGGGCATCTATAGATGCAACTATCTTTCAATAATAATGATATACTGTTGAGCACAACACTAGGCATAATTCTAGAATCTGCAATTACGGCAAAACATAGCACAGATGAGGAATTTGCATGACTGCAGACATCAGCCAAAAATGATAAGATGATGCATATAATTCATCTAGACGGTGACAATTATATGCAAATAAATCAACCACTCTCAAAACCCAATATAATTCAATTCTGACTGTCAAAGTTCTCTGTAACACTAGAAGCAAGCAGAAAGCCACTTTAAATGGCGAAGTCAAGAGCAGTAACTGATGATTCTGAGATATGTACCGATTTTGTGATGGATACAATTTTGGGGGGGAATTTAATAATAATGCTGTATTTCAGGTATTCAAATAACAAGGCAGCGTTAATTCCAGTAACAAACAGGATAGAGAAAGAGAGAGAGAAGCAACAGTGCAAGGTTCTGAAAAGCGGTTGCGGTCGCCGTAACGGTGGCCGTGGCGCGGTTGCGGGGTGTGAAGGCCGTAACTTAACGGTTGCGGTAACCGAAACCGTGAAATTTTTTATTTTTCGCACAATTTGAAAAAACTTACTGATATGCACATTTTTTTTCCATGATCATATTTATTGGGTTTTAAAATAAATATTGATTAATTTTTGTAAATTTTTAAATTTGATCCAATATATTTCATATTTTTAAATCACTATAAACTGAATTTTTTACATTTTATTTTAATAATTAATGATTTTATATTATACAAAAAATCAATCACTACCTATTATATATACGATAAATAATGGCAAAAGTAAGAAAATAAATAAAAGCCTAAATATATATATATATATATATATTTTTTAATCAAGTCAAATAGATAATGACGACACTTATTATTATTATTATTATTTTCAAACAATATATAAATAGACACACACAAACAAAATGGTCGAGTGATAGCAGCTGAATAGAATAGCATAGGTCTTCCAGCTTCAACAAATCAATAACATGTTCTTCATCTTCCCTCTTCTCTCTCTCTATCTCTTGCTCCTCCATCTTCCATCTTCTCTCTCTATCTCTTCCCCCATTTTTCAACTTTTTTACTTTCTTTTTTTTTGTGTTTTTTCGAAAGAAGCAATTCAGAACCGTTACGTAACAGGCCGTTACGGCTATTATGGCACCGTTACGACCGCTATAGCAGCTGCTATGGCCGACACACCTATGAATCTCAATCACATTGCAAAAGCGGCCGTAACGGGTGACAGTAACCATCACAACCGTTACGTAACGGCGTTACGTAACGGTTGCGGCCGCTTTTTAAAACCTTGATGAGAATAAATATATAATATTTAAATAGATGACATATGATAAATATATATAGAATTATATATGTTGTAGGTGTCCTCCGCATGCCATGGTTTTTGAAAATTTAAGTGTCCATGTCCATGTCTATGCTACTTAGATCCCAACTTTGATTTGATAACAACATGTGTACCGAAAAACAGCAAGCAGTTGAGGATATCACTAAATAATATAGACAAAGGCCCTGTTTGGTAGAGCTGTGGAAAAGTGCTTATAGCTTATGCCTTAATTGCTTATAGCTTATAACTATGAACATAAACTGATTTCTGACTTATAAATTAAGCATCTCCTGCCCCACTCAAGGAATAAGCTGATTTCTGACTTACAAAAAGCTATAAGCTGCATTGTTAAGCTAAACCAAACACATCAAAAGAGCTTAAATTAAGCTGAAAGCTGAAATAAGCAGCTTTTAAGCTGCACCAAACAAGCACAAAGAAAGCTACCACGAGCAAGCTCTTTTGATAAAGATAATCACTCCCTCTATTCTGCACATTTAGAGCACAACTACCAATATACACTTCGCTAGCATGTTGGGTCCAAATTCATGACTCCAAATTTAGTGTTTACCTTGCCCCTCCATGGACCAACCAACGTATCATCTTAAATGGGGATCGCACATATAGCAACAATATTTTACAAATATTTAATAGTTTTTTCAATACTATAAAAAAGCTAATATTTACAAATTTAGTTAAGAAAAACTAATGAAATCACATGAAACAATACTGCAAAAAATAAGTGTAAAAACAAATGGTATTTTTTTCTAGCTACGCCCTGTCCATAATCCTTTCAGTTTCCAATAAGGAAAATAATCTATTTGGAACAGAATCTTGAAGCCAACAGTCTTTTATTCACATGGGCTTCCTGAGGACTGAGAAATTATTGCTTCTCACAAAAGGACTTCCTGAGCTAGGTCCATTTGAAGCCCTCTCAAAAGCTTCCTAATATACCTGCATCTAGTGTAATATCTCTATTTAAACAATGTGACACAATGCATTCTCAAAAGGGCTTGACTCATGCATGAGTGTCAGTGTATCACCACCATGAGGGTGACTAGTGAATTAACTAGAATAACTACCAAGCATGTCTTCAACGTTTTAAAGAGACAGAGATTAAACATCAGTATTCTATGACAGCAAAGATCAGCATGATAATTCTCAATGCAAAATAACAACCAAAAGGGAATTTTTTTTTTTTTAAATATGTATATAAGAAAGAGAAACTTTATTTCAGAAAATCCTTACTAGTACATGCAAGCGCCCGCCCACATGACCTCCCGAGAGCGGTTGTAAGCAAGCCATGTGCTGGGAAATGGTTGGCGACTGCTGGGTGTGAGCAATTTCAGGCAAGTGTGGAGGTGGTCCACACTGATGGTTGTGAGAAAAGTGAGATAAATGTTGAGTTTGGTGAATAGCATGCTGATGGTTGTGCAAGGAATGAAACTGAGGCTGATGAGCCAGTGGCTGCATATGAGGTTTACATGAGGTTTGCTGCTGATTTTCGGACTGCAAAAACAGAAAGAAAGAAGGGAGAAAAAAAAAAGCATATGAGTTTCCAGTCTTGTAGAATATATGTTAGAAACACCGAGTACGTAAGGAGTTGCACCAACATTATAACTCAGCTAAACTAGATAACAAAGAAAGTTGAACCCAGCCTTTTATGTAACTGCTCAAGGTTTGAAGTGCAGGTGAAGTCGACACCACATGGAAGCCATGCCTTAAGTATAATAGCATTTTGTGAAACCAAGAGATCTAGATAAAAATTGTATGTTCTAGAAAACTTGAGAACATATGATCACACTTCCGGATTAAAAATCACACTCCCTGTTTAGCCATGAAAGACCTGCAATGCTATTCCAGGTGAACCCCAGTGCATGGAGCAAAGGGTACTACAAACAAAGTCTGATATTAATAATGACTCCTCTTACACTTCTATTCCCATTTTCCTAACCAACCATTTCGTTTCTTATAACTAGGCCACTTCAAAATTCTTGAACTACTATGACGCTGTCAAACTTGTATTAAGAGACTTTCTTCAGTAAACATTATTTACATTTTTTGAGCAATTGACTTTGTAAGGGCTAGGAATAGCATGGTTGTAAATTTCATGTGTGACATTAAGCTAGAAATCAAAGCCTTCATGTAAGGAAGCACATTGTCCAACTAAGAAGCCAAACCTTGAAGAATTCATTGAAGGAGTGATGTAGAAGTTTCACCAACACAATTACTCCTCTCAAAAAGGCATTGAACCAAGCGAAGACCAAGAGGATCAAGGCTAAGCCTAAAAAGCTCCAGTCAGGTCAACTTGGTCAACCAACATTGGTTTTGGTCAACCAAGATCGAAGCTTGGTCACTTGGCTGACCAGCCACAGAGGTTGGTCACTTTTTGTCAACCACGCTGGCCTTTGGTTGAATAAATAGTAACTTAGTCAACCAACTTGGATCAAATTTCAAATAATATAGCCGAAATAGCTGTTGGAGGCTTGGCTATATATAGGATTACTTGTGTTCCTTAAAGAACTTGGTGATTCTTTTTCTAATATAGAATTTTCTATATATATGAATACTTCTGTAGCTAGAAACTCAAAACTCAGCTCAATCAGGCTAATAGAATTGTCTCATTGGACTAAGCCATCAATCTAGAGATTTACAAGGCTCAACAGAAAATTTCAATGAACCATCTGTCTTTAAACCTCCAAACGAGTCTGCGAAAGTCCTGATTCAAAGATGGTAACCAAAATTTATGCCACAATATCTCTAAGAATAAGAAAGTAGACAATCGATCAAAAATTAGAAACAAAACATCAACTACCATGTTAAGAAAAGTCAAGAGGTTTCTCTACTCTCTTGATATAACATAAACCAGAACAGAAGCTCATAAGCTGAACAACACAAGCTTATTTGTATGCAAACCCAATACTATATGCATCCTAGATAAGGTGCGCTTAAGAAAGATGCCTCCAAAATACATATATAAACACACACACACACACACAATAAAATGTCAATGTAAATCAATGAATCATATGGTCAGAATCCCATTAGAACAATATGTGCCTATAACAGAAGCATGAAGCTAAAATAAAAAAAATAAAAAAAAACTTACTTCATTGACAGAGCGGTAACCTTGACTGGTAGCCATTGGAGAAGAACTGTCTGAGCCAGGGAAATTCTGAGGAAATAAATTAGAAGGATGATACATTAGCTAAACATTCAATTGTAGTGGGACTAAAAACAATCAGCCCACTAGCATAATGTGTGTCAAGCTTACAGGCAAACTGGGGATACTGGGCACAGAGTTTGAGGCACAACGCCTGTACTTGTGTCTTGGCGAGTAAAACTTATAGTCTCGAGCAGAGACAGCTACTTCATTCCGCCCTGTCAATCTCCTGAACCTATAGAAAGCAGCATGCTAGTCAGACCAAAAAAATATATGTTGCCAACATATACTGATGCACATTACTCAAACGAATACAAAAACCATGAGCAATTAGAAGCCAACAAATACAGTTAATTTTTAACAACACAATTCACCTTCAAGTAAAGTGACTGTAGTTACAATTATGAACAAATAAACAACCATGATGTCAATGATATTTCTTTTACAAAATAAAGTGTATCCATTAGCCGGTAGCTCTCAAATGAAATGAAGGTTGATGGAGTGAGTGTTTTGAGTCATCTGCATACCACAAGCACAAATTACAATGCATGAGATATGGGAATGAGCCTATTCGCACACACTACAATGCATGAGATATGAGAATGAGCCTATTTTTTTAGACTCTAAAGAAGTCAAATTCAGGGAAACCAATTTTTTGTCCTCCTAAAGATTAATAAATTCAGGACAGCAAAAAAAAAAAATTAAAAATAAGAGACAGACTAAAGGAACAAATGGAATTTGTTAAAGCTTCCTGCCAAATTTCAAGGTGAAAAAAAATATCACAGAAAAGGTTTTGTTCCCCAGGTTTTGTTCCCCATATACTAGGGAAAAAGCAAGCCATTTCAACAACATGGAACTAAAACAAAGCACACAAAATAAGGCATAACAATAATGACAAGCCGTAATGACAAAAGTGGCTAGAATAATTTTAATATGTGACCAAAATAGGACTCGTTGCGTCAGTGCCAAAGAATCAATAAAGATAAAATTGTTTAATTCTCATTCTGAAACTGGATTAAACTTTCCTTACTAGGCAAAGTGATTCGCACCTTCGTTACACAAAGCGCTAACAAGGGCAGGGTTGAGGACAGAGGAGCAAGGGCTCACAGAAGAGTCTAAGTTGAGCACGTAGGGGAGCGTTTATGTTTATGCTACATAAATATTGTAAGATTTTTTTTTTTTTTTTTTGGCTTAGTTGTGATATATATGTTAAATGTTCATGAACACTACCATTTAAACTGTTAAAATAAGCATAATAAATTCTCATTACATTGTCTAGCACTCTAGTGTACATTTTTGTCCCTATTTTGATTTGTTCTTTATTTTTTGCCCTCAGTTCATTATGATGTAGATTGATGTATTCATCTTTTTTCCCCTCACTTAATATATCTATTCTCTGTAGATTTTCTTTTTCTTTAGTAGCTTTTCTTTTGTTTTTTTGGGATTCTTATGTTTGAGTACATTCCAATTAGAACCACAATTCTATCTTGACCAATAATCAAAATTTCATTTTGATGTACTGATTATGCTTAACTTAGAAAGAGAAATATTATGAAAACATAAAAGAAACCAAAAAGAAAAAAAAAAATGGAAACACATGGAAATACTTAGAAACAGAAGCTTGAACCTATAAAAATAATGAATGTGTTTGAGGCCTACACATCACTTAACTGAAGGGCACAAAAAATCAATTTGGAAGTAAATTCAATGGTGAACCCAATCATTAAATTAATGTTAAACAAATCACTTGTATCAAGTACAACTGTTTAAGTTTATACAATTCTAAATGTGCATAAGATTCCAACCAAATAAGATTTATCAAATTACCAAAAATGATAATTGTACATAGAACTGACTAAGGTTCAACGGCTTATTAAAGAGTGGAAACACACGTCACTAATACCAATGACAAAGGGGATGTCTGGGCTGGAAGTGGAGCAACCAAGCAGAAGAGATATTTGGGCGAGAGACAGAGGAGAAACTTTATTCCCATTGGCAATTGTTACTAAAGTCATTTTAAGATGCCCTTGAGAAGATTCAATTTACAAAATCTTGGTTTTGCATGGTCTTGAATGCATGTAAATGCCATAAAACCAGTTATTAAGAATTTTGAGGTCCAAAAGGAAAGGTTTTCATTTATTCAAAAAAGTACAGGGGACCACCACGCTCTACAACTTTTCAAGATAAGAGAGTGTTTGTAATTTAAAGCATAGAATGATAAAACACAAAAAATCTAGCTGCTCCCAAATGAATTTCCAATAACCCACTTGAATAGTTTTCACTTCATGGGAATGTCTCAGATCAGAGAAGATGGTCATCCTCTATGGCAGATCTCCTTTGGAGGTTTAAACAATTTAAGAAAATTCCCATAACATTTTTGAATTTAGAACAATGACAAAAATGTGACTTCACGTCATCCGCTTCCAATAACTGACTTTCCAACCAAGAATAATGCTTTTATTGGGAGACAACAAGGATACCTCTTATATATATTTATTATTTAAATTTCATCCTTTCATTCTCCTCCACATAACTTTAAAAGCATTTTCAAAAAAAAAAAAAATCTCAACTTACTCTAAAAGCTAAAACCTCTCTCATGTTTGTTTGCTATGGCTTCCTTCTAAATATGAGCTTATATTAAAAGTGATCCATTAACCATGCATCAAACAAAAATGTACTTACATTGAACCAATGTTTAAGAAAAGAAAAAGTCAATCACGAAAAAACAAATCCAAAAATACTTTAACTGAGGATAAGTGTCTGCATAACGAAATGGCACGTTTTACCAATCCCCAAATGAAATTATGTGACTGTACAAGACTAACCATGACATGTTCAAAACTAAGCACAAAAAGTACAGCACACGTGCAAAATTCAGTACTCAACCTACCATTCTGCATCATCAATACGCATACTAGTAGGTTTTTCAACGATAGCTAGACCGTTGACCACCACAAAACGAACCCGCTTCTCCTCTTGTATTACTAACTCTGGAAATCTCGTCCTTGTTTCAAGAGAAGTTGCCAATTCTCTTCTCTTAAATATGTAAGTTCCTGAATGTCAATTATAAAAATAATAGAAGCCAATTAATATAGAGAATGGATACTTCTTTAGAAGAAGAAAGATTTTTTTTCTCTCAAAAAATTTGAAGGCCCATAACTAGACTTTAAATGAAATTATTCTTTCTTCTTCTCTATTTTATTATTTTATTATTTTCAAATTTTTTGTGGGGGCTAGGGATGTAAAAAATGCAATTTGTGATAGTAATAACCTATGAAGCACTGACACTTCAAAACAAGGGACGTAGCCGTGTTGGCCAAGCAAACATGGCGGGGACACTTATGGGACATACTACATAGCGTGATCCTTTATTTAATTAATTTATTTTCAAGGGACACTTCAGGGAGATGCTTAGGACATGCCAACTAGTCTTTTCCCACATTTTTTTTAGTGCTTTTGATGAATGTTGAATGTTGAATGTTTATTGTTTTTTCCTTAGATTTAAATACTTAATAGATCATCCATAAAAAATATATAAACGGCAAGTGTTAATTTAAAAGTTTTTTTTAAAATACAGAATTAGAGTTAATTTTTGTTAATTTTGATTGTTTGTGGATGTAATATTAATCTAAATAGCAAATAAAAATATATGAAAAAATATTTTATTGCTGGTGTCCTCATTTTTTTGAAATCACCGTGTTCATGTCCATATCCGTATCCTGTCCATGCTCTTCGGTGATAACTCATTAAAATGCTTCAAGAAAATCAGCAAACTATTTTATACACCATGGGAATCAAATAGGACCAAAGGCCCATACCCAAACTTAAATGTGTTGGAACATACTCAAACAAAAAAAAGGGTACAAGTCATCATACAACCCAAATGAACACACCTCATGAAATACAAAAAGACTCAATAAATTTTAGGAAACAAGCTCAGTGAAATGTTTTGACAGATGAATTAGATTCATGATTCATCTCAATCCTTATGCAATATATGTCAAAACCAAACAATACATACGCAGAACAAAGTGGATTCCAATTCCTCATAACAGAATTCGGTTATAAACCAATGCACCGAAAAACGAAATAGCTCAATACCTTTTCTGGGGAATTTCTTAGCAAGCTTTCTGTACAAACCACCAGCTGCTTCAAGGGCCACCCCAATCGTCTTTCCACGAAAGCCATTCACAGAAGAGACCCTCATGTTCACTTCACTTACCAAACTTTCATACATATTTGCCACATACATCAAGGGCAACGCCAACCTTGCATCTCCTTCATAATGGATCTCCCTTGATTTCCTCTTGCTTAGCTTATCTTGAGCAGACTGAGCTGCATAGTCAGCCTCAGAATCTGGTACTTCGATTACATGCGAGCTTATAAAGTGATCCACAACAATGTCCAAAAACCTTGCCCTTGCATTTTCAATCGGCGAAATATCTAAGTTGAAGTTAAATTCAAGTTAGTTAATAGTTAAAACAAAAGATCAAAAACTTTTAATGGCCATTAGTTGAAGACCAAACAGATAATCAAGAAAGTAAGCAACCATCAGTAGTCAAAATATCGTAGGGACCCCTTGAAGAACCATTATTTTCTAAAGTAGAGCGATCTTCCTCCACTCCTACACTCTGAAGTGGTAAAGAATTCCTGTAGGGTTCATGAATGCAGTCCTGAAAGGAGAAAACAATTGCATGATGAGAACTAATTGAGAGAGATAAGGATAGGGGAAACTTGAGCTCCCTCTGTCTACAAAGGGGGTGTAGAAGAATTAATTAGTTGAATCTTAAATTTTGTGGTGACTGAGTTTCAACAATATCAAAATCTAAAATTGAAAAGCCTAATGTAAATATTCCCTCATTTTTTTCTACTTTAAGCAAGGGAACAACATCCACATATCATGATGTAGCTAGCAAGTTAGGTTCATTGCCAAGTAAATAATATACATGGGATAATGTGGATTCCAAGGAACCTAAAATTAGGTTAGACAAAACATTAAGGATTGAGGGGAGTGGTAGCTGCTTGGTGAAGAACAAAAACTAATTAAGCACCTTACCTATGTTTTCTCTGCCTAAATTCTCATTTCTCCAAGGAAACAAAAAAGTGGGTCGTTTTCCGGTTTTCAAAACAACCCACTTTTTATGCTCCATATATTTGGGCATTTTCTGGCGTTTGGTAAGATGAAAAATGAAAATTCGCCTATTTGGGCCAATAATGTTTTCCACTTTTAAAAAGCAGAAAAGAAAACGACTAAAATCTTACCAATGGCACCACACTATCACTACCGCCACCACTACTATCACATCCACCACTACACCACCATCACCACCGTCACCACCACCATCACTGTCGCCATTACCACCGCTGCCACCCAAACCACCACAGCCCCCTCCACCTCCACTTTCGTCTCACCACCACCACCACCAAACATAAAAGAAAGAATAATGTTTTGGATCCTCTTTTGGGGGTCACCCCTCACCCCCTACCCCTTTGCCACGTGGCAGGGGTGATTGGAGGAGCAGTAAAAAAAAGAAAAATAAAAAGAAAAGATAACCAATGAGAGAGAGAGGGTCAAAGGGGTGGGGGAAAAGGGGATGAATCATTACTCTAACAGAAAATGTTTATTTTACAGAAAAAATTTCCGTAGAAAATGTTTTCTGTTAAATATTTCCACCCAAACAAACGGAGCGTTAGAAACACCAAGCAGTTTTTGAAAATTAATTTCGCACAAAAATAAGAATAATTTGAAAACAAAAGATTATTTTCGAACTTTTCATTGTTTTGCTTCCAAAAAAAAAAAAAACCCCCGAAAAACAGAAACAAAGAAAATGAAAAGACAACCAAACAGATTTGAATTCGAATTCACTGAGACACAAAAACAGAGTATGAGCAATAGACAAAACTTGAAAACAAGAAAAACAAAAACACTCACAACAGCACTCGATTCATCGTCGTTTTCCAAGCTGTCTTCAGTGATGGCGTCGCGATCGACCTCGCCGAGACCTTCGATCTCCCCGGGACGACCATCGACGGTGTTGAGATCATGCAAAGAGCTCTCAATATATGAATTCGCCGATCTCAGATTGTAGTGCTGTACTGGAACCCTAGTCCCCATCAATCCCCTCCAAAAACAACAATCCAATTAAATCCTTCAAAACTCTCTCCTTCGTCGTCTCTTTTTCTTCTTCTTCTTCTTCTTCTTCTTCTCTTTTGATCTGTCAAGTACAAAGAGGATTCAGAGGCCATTGTGACAATTGAGTGATTGTGTGTGAGAGATTCAAATTTGAAGAGAGATTGATCAGACACAGTGAGGAGAGAGAGAGAAAGAAAGAGAGAGAGAGAGAGAGAGAGAGAGAGTCCAAGCCTGGGACCGTACCTGAGCTTTCGCTGTGCGAAGGCAGTGTCCAAGCCTACCTCCGATGTCCGCCCCAGCTTCCAAGCCGGTAGGGGCATAAGGTCCACTTATGCATAGTAGATGGGTTATGATTTGGTGCGGCGCGCTAGTTAGCCATTGGGGAAATTACAAAAATCAATGGATTTTTAATTATTAAAATCAATAATGTTAGAGAAGTTATTTGTTGGTTTAACATAATATCACGTGATACCCTATATATATTGTGATTGAAATTCATGATTTTGTATTTGATAATTGAAAAATATGAGAGGTAGGAATGGTCACGGTTTGACTTTGGAGCAAGTTTATAGAAATTTACCCTCATATCATATCGGAGACGGGAGACAACTCAATTTTGTAAGTTGAAAAAAGAAAATATTAATAAAAATTATAAATAATATAGTATATTATGAATACTTAATAAGAATTATATTATATATGATAGAAAATAAATAAATAAAATTAATATAAAATATAATATTTTAGCATTTTAATTTTATTATAATTAAAAATTAATAAATATATTTAACAAATATAATCAGGACAGAATTTGGGTGGAATGAGGCAGGGGAAGCTAAACCCCTCTCCGCTTCACTTTTTAATTGGGATAGGAAAAATTCATACAAGGTGGGGTGGGGGATGCAGGTGCAAAGCATGGAGGAAGAAAATGATCATCCTAATGAGAGAATATAGTGGTTTGTAATTGGATAGGGACATAATTACGTGATGCCTCTGGACTAACTAAATTTTTTTCATAACGTTAGAATACTAATTAGTATACTAACTACAAACAATGTTAGGTAGGACCATATTAAGTAATGAAATTTACATGTATATTATAGTGTGTTAGTTAATCACTTATTTGAAGAAAAAAATTTAAAAACTTCAATTGAATTGAAATTTTCCCATGATCATTCTTTTATATTGATGAATAATCATTTCATTTGTAATGTGTTTTTTATGAAAAGAAAAAAATTAGGAGAAAATTACAAAAAAATAAAAATAAAAGTGATCCTTATAACAAAACAAACTCTAAATTTTATATTTTATCAATTTAAATCATAATATTTTGATTTATTTTCAATTTAAATCATTTGTCTATTTTTATTAAGTAAAATCAATTTAAAAAAATGATATTTTAAACATTAAATTTAATAAAAAATAATATTTTATGTAGATTTATATTCACCATTTAAACCAAAGCCGGCCCTAAGATTTATGGGACCCTAAGCTGGTTTTGAAAGTGGGGCCCTCCTACAAATATTTTTTTATAAAAAAAATTACGGATAAAATAAAAAGTTATCAATAATTTTTTTATTATTTAGTAGCTACAAAAATTTTCTTCTACATATAATCATTAAAATTTATTTTCATATATTAAGATATAAAAAAATCATTACAAAGATTCCAAAAAAATAAAATAGGGACTTGTCGTTTTATAGTTTAGCACTAATATCTGATAACAAAATGATTATGTTATTGTAATATGATATCTGATAACACAATCATAATCTACACAAATCACAATCTACTAATTATTTGATAACAAAACACAAATTATTGGGGGGAAATTGAGAGAAAAAACTAAAGCAAAATTATTCAATTAAATTATGATAAAGAAAGAGGAAAAAAATTAGAGCAAATAAAATTAAGGAAAAGAAATTAGGGTAAAATTATTCAATTAAAATATGATAAAAAGAGATGGTAAAAAAATTAAGATAAATTTATTTATTCTATTCAATTATTGACATTAGAATCTATTTGAACTCATTATATCATATATATTTGATTGGACTAATTTGTATAATTTTTAATTAGGCCTAACAATAATGATATATATATATATATATATATTAATTTGTTTGCTTTTTGTCTCTCTTCCTTTTTCTGTGAATGAATTAGAGAAGAGAACCAGGTGAAGTCAAAATGAAAGTGAAGTCACAGACATTTGGTTCCTGCCTTTCAGCAGTGTACAGAGTGGGATCCAGAGTCACGTCCTTAGTTGAAGGACAAGGAGTTGTCTCTCAACCTTAGTTTGGGGAGTGGTTTTTCACTCAAGTATCAAATTATCAAATCACCCTATTTACTTTTTTTTTTTAATACAAAAAAAATTAAAAAATTAATTAAAGTACTCAATTCAAAATGAATTCTAAGTAATTATTGTTTTAAAACTATAGATCCACTACTTTTTGTGTTTGAATTTATCACAGCAATGTGTTAAGTTTCATCGTCGTTGAGGATTTGGAGCATCAACAACCTGGAGAAAGAATTTCTCAACATACTCGGTAAATGGGATGTAGAAGAATTCCTGGAGGAGGATTGAATGATGACGGAGATAGATAGGTTGCCCAAAAATGCTCAGACTCCGTTTGGGAAATGGGTTGGTTTTTTGACTTTTTAATTTTTTTGACTATTTTAGCCTGGGTCTAAAAAGCCTGATTTGGGAAGCGCTTTTTGACTTTTTTGGCTTTTGGACTTTTTGGTGATGTGTGTTCCTATTAATTTACCAAAGTGCCTTTCCCAAAACACATCTACCTTAATTGCAAGGGCCATGTCGTCCACATCAGCAAGCCAACTATCCGAAATAGTTGTTGTTCTTTTTTAATTTTTTTTTTAATATATTTTCGGTTTGGAGTTGCCGTTTTTTGCTAACTTCTTTTTTTTATTATTATTTTAGGTTTGCATTTGGCATATTTTGTTTAAATTTTTTATTTTTTATTTTTTATTTTGGGGTATTTTGGTAAAATATTTATTTGTTTAGCTGTTTATTTTGGATTTTGATTTGACGTATTTTGCTTAATTTTTGTAATTTTTTTTAAATTTATGTTTTTGTCATTTTTATTTTTTTATACATTGAAATAAGTTCTTGTTCTTTAATTTACGTTTTTTGTAATATTTTGTTTAATTTTTTTTATTTTTTTTCATTTTCTGTGAAATGATAAAAAGTGAGGTTTTATTTTATTGTCTTGTGTAATTTAAATAATTTAATTTTAATTTAATTTTAAATATTTAATTTTTATTTTTATTTTTATTTTTATTGTAAATATTTAAATAATGTAAATGATCTAAAAAATTTAATAAGAAAAAAATTAAAATAAATATTCAAAAAATTTAAAGCGTAAAAATTTAAATAATTTAAATATTCAAAAAATTATTTTAACAAAAAAATTTAAATAATTTAAATATTCAAAAAATTTAAATAATTTAAAATGTTAATATTTTAAATTTAAAATATGTGGTTTGAAATTTTTCATCGTAACTAAACACATAAAACAAAACTTAATTAAAAAATTATTTTTAAAACTCATAACCAAACACATAATTTGAAACTCCATACTACTTTCATAACTCTACACTCAAATCATAACCAAATACCTAACAAAAAAATTAAAATATTTAAAAATATTTTTATAAAATAGAGTTTGAATTTTTTTTATAAAAAATTTTAAAATTTAAAAAATTCAAATTGTAATATTTTGAAATTAAAATATTTAAAAATATTTAAAAACATTTTCCTTTTGCTGTTGACATAACTTGGCTGGTTGAGGTTATACTTTAGTGCAGCTGAGTAGGACACGTGGACGGTAGGGGCTAATTGGTTCAACATTTCCAACATGGGGTATTTTGGTAATTTAACCCCTTGTTGTATGTGAGCTACCATTCAAATGGAGGCTAATTCATATTTTGTCGCCTTATGGCTAATTTAGCCAATTTTATCGTGTTTTGGCTAAATTAGCCCACAACCGACTTCCCAAACGTACTCCGAAATGGATATTATGAACGAGTAAACTTCACCAAAACGAATGTTATCGATAGCCAAATTCCTCTTTGAAATAATGGAATAAGAAAACATATAACGAATACTTGTAATGATCCAACTTTGTTATGCTCCCTAGCGACGATCTCTTTTTCATCCATAATGTATGTTTATTTACTTATTTTTTTCATTTTTCATTTTGAGTTAATTATTTTATCTCCCTACAGTTTACGTCGAAAGCATTTTACCTAGGGGCGGTACTATCAAGGGGTCAGGGGTCACGTGCCCCTGGGTTTTGCAATTTTTTTTTTTTAAAGTAATCATAAAAAAAAATATTTTAAATAAAAAAATTTATAAAAATATTATTTTAAATGTCAATGACATTTTTAAAATAATAAGAATAATAATGGTTATTTTGATTGAAAATAAAATGATTACGATATTATTATTTATGAAAATTTTAATGTAATGGTGATGTCTATCACTATTGACATGCAAATATAATTAATCTCAATAAAAATATAGAATTTATTGAATTATTGTTGGAACAATCTTCTGTGTAAATAAAATAAATAGAAACATATCCAAACAAAATAAATAAATAACGTACCGAATTTATTTGTCGAACCGAATTAAAAATAAAAGACCAAGTCGAATGTGTGACACTCTGTCCTTAAGACAGATTCGCCTCGCTACGGTGCTTACGGTTGAGTGGCGTCTATCTCTCAGAATACAATGATCTTCACAAATTGTAGTAGCACTCCAAACAATTTGTTCGGCGAACCAAACCTGTGTTCTAACTCTCTTAATTTTATTCTAAAACTAAAATGAAGAATAATGTAAACAAATGAAATCTGGACAGCAAATACTAGATTTTCAGACTGTTCTATATAACATCCGGACTGCTGGAAATTGATTGTATTTATAGGCAAACTTTTGACCCGAACAGGTGCTGTGAGGAATCCGAACAGGTACCACTTTGTTTCAAACAGATATAGTTTGAAATTCAAACAGATTCACAGTAGTTTGCATAACTGAATCTGTCTACAATCTGGAACTACTGGACAGTTTGAAAACTGTCCAGATTTGAACCTGTAACTACCGGGGCGGTTTGAAATGAATCTGTCCGAAAATAACAGATTAAAAACTGGACTAAAGAAGTAACAAATGGATAGTAAAATTAAGGGCAAATTACATATACACCCCTCCAGGTTTGGTTAAATTACAGATACCCCCTGAGGTTTCGGAAATTACATCCCGCCCCCTGAGGTTTGTATTTTCATAACAATTTACCCCCTGAGGTTTATATTTCATAACAAATTACCCCCTAATTTCTTATGCAAATATAGCATTCAGGGGGAATTCGTAATTTCTCAAACCTCAGGGGGGTATCTGTAATTTTGTCAAACCTGGAGGGGTGTATATGTAATTTGCCCTAAAATTAATTTAATAAATGACTTAATTTCGATAAGAATTTTAGAAAAAATTCAAATGAATTTTCTCTAAAAAAATTAATATAAGAACCGACCCGACCCGACCCGACCCCCACACCCTGCTCGGCTCGGCTGAAAGGCGGCGACGCGCGTGTGGTGGTTTGGGCTAAGGTTCACTTTGTCCATAACTCCTCCCTTCTACAAACTTGGGGCCCAACCCAAGTGTTGTAGGCTACGCTAGAGTTTATATATACAAATAAACTCTATTAAAGTTTCAATGTGGGACAACCCATTAAAAGGAAGCCCACATGTCTTCACCGTGTGACTTACTACGCAGCAAAGAACACTTCACCTCTTTGGACCCACCTGAAAAGACGTTCAGGACCCACTCTATTTTAGGCTCAAAATCGGCCCAAAATATGCCTATATTAACTATTTTTCCAACAATCCCCTCCCTTCTACAAACTTGGGGTGCCCCTTGGGGCCCAACCCAAGTGTTGTAAGCTAGAGCATATATATACAAATAAACTCTCTTAAAGTTTCAATGTGGGACAACCCATTAAAAGGAAACCCACATGTAAATCTTTAAATGTCCATTCCTCGAACCCGAAAACGACATCAACTTTCCATTTACTCATAAATGGTTTTGACGAACCGTCTTCACCGTGTGACTTACCACGCAGCAAGGAGCACTTCACCTCTTCGGACCCTCCCGAAAGACGTTCGGGGCCCACTCCATTTTGGACTCAAAGTCGGCCCAAAATATGCATATATTAACCATTTTTCCAACAATTATTAGTTACATTTGACATGTAGTGTTCATTCTCTATGTTTTTCTTTACTATTGATTGATGATATCACACGTTAATGATTACATGGTATAACTATTATATTGAATTTTTACGCATATTTTGTATAAAAAAATTACTTTATCATTATATAATTTATTTTAAAACTTTATATCCATGACTTTTTTTAATATTATTCATGATACACTAATTACAAATAATATTTTGCTTATTTGGTTCTAGTTTTCAGAAACAGTTTTCAAAAAATTATATATTTTTATTTTCTGTATTTTAATGTTTTCAATAATTTTTTTTAATATTTTAAGAATTTTTTTAATTTTTAGACACACCTAACATAAATATACCTAAAAAGTATAATATTTGTGAAAAAAAACTTTAAAAAATACACTAAATATCAAAAAATATAAAAATAATATGAAAATTCAGTACATTTTCGTATTTTTGTGTATTTATTAATTTTTTTAAATATTTTTTCACAAATATTTTACTATTTGGATACATATCTAAGTAATGTGCATTTAAAAAAGTAAAAAATTGTTTAAAATTTAAAAAATATTCACTAAAACCAAAAAAATACGAAAAATAAAACACTTAGTTTTTAGAAAACTAAATTCAGAAAACTAAATCAAACACATTGATTAATTCTTTTTTTATCTTTCTTGAAGTTAATGGTGAAAATTTATGTTAAATATTTTCATAAAAAAATTTAATATTATAATTAATAAGTGCCCCCTCTGATTTAATTTCTTGACTCCACCGTTGATTTTACCCCCTTATACTTTAGAAATGTACATGTAACTCCCTTTGTAATTTGGAGTGAAATGCAAAGTTTAACTTTGTTAATAATTTTTACGAGATGTCTATATTACCCTTAATGTTTTCTCTAATTTTCTTCTCTAAGCCATAATACTTTGGAACCAAACTCTCTCTACCCGATTCTCTCTCCCTCTCTCTCTGTACGATTTCTTTCTTTCTATATACTTCTTTTAGTTCTTCACTTTCTCTTTCCTATTACTCCTACCTCATGGGCACCACCAGCCACCTTCAAATCTAGCAACCACCACCTCTTGTTTTCCTTTCTTTTCCTTTCCTTTTTCTTCTTTTTCTCATGGCAGTAGTTAGCTACTCTGATTTATATAGTGGCTAATACAACTACTTTGGTTATACGGGAGGAGCTTCTATTCAGTCCACATAGTGGACTGGAGTGTACTATTGGGAGATTAGAGTGTACAATTGGGCCTATGGCGTACATCACGGGTCATGTTTCGATGATCCGAATCGTTTAATACGTAGAACTCGTAGAATATTTTATACTTGTAAAAATTACGTTGATTGAATATCGGTAGCCCCTTGATCGGAACACATTTTTGTTAATAGTAAATGTGATTTTAAAAATAAATTACTAATAAAAATGTGTTCCGATCAAGGGGCTACTTATATCCGATCAATGTGATTTTTTGTAAATATAAATGGTTGTTTTGACAACATGGATAAAAAGTTAAAAGCCAACGTTTAACCCATTTTGAGTCACATTATCTCTCACATAAAACAATGAAAAAGGTCAAAAAAGTTAAAAAGTTAGCTTTTAACCATCTTCTCAAAACAACCCAAAGTATTCGATAAGTTCTACACATTAGATGATTCCTATGAAGCACGGGTTCTCCAAAAATAGTGTCGTGCACGTACCGGGTACTTACTGGGTGCGGGTACGCATACCAGTACGGCTGCACGCGTACCGAGTACAGCAACAAGTAGTCGGGTACGTCTGGTTCAGTCGGGTACAGCTTGGGTACGGCATGGGTATGCCTTTGGTGCGTTTCAAGTACGTCGGGGGCAAAAATCAAATTTTCTGGAGAATTGAGGGGTACCGAAGCAATATTAAGAAAAATTTTAAAAAATTAAATAAATAATGATATATACGAATGAAGTTTGTTTTGCCCTAATCTCATCACTTTTGCCCTAATCTCATCAGTTGAGCAACACAGCACCAAAAGGTGACATAGAAGCAAAAAGGCGACGGCAACCCAGCCATTCCCTTCTAGCAATGGCGACGCAAGGAGTTCCGGTGAGTCTTCTTCCTCTTCTTCTTCGTCTTCATCTTCTTCGTTGCCTTCTTCTTCTTTGTTTCATCTTCCACCCTCGTCTTCTCTCATTTTCTTCGTTTCTTCTTCTTCATCTCATTTTTTTTTTTTTACAGAGATCAACAAGCATCTATTTTCGTCCCCTGCATATCAGCCATACCTAGCAACCAAGCAACTGGTATGATTTTGTTTTTTTTGTCCCTTGTTGCATAACTTATTTTTGTCCCTGAATAAGTGGTCAGAATTTGTTGCATAATTGGGTCAGAATTGTTTTCCCCTGAATAACTTGTTTTTGTCTCTTCATTTTTTTCCCCTGGTCAAAATCTCTTCGTCTTTATTTTTTTTGTTTTTTTTCTTGTTTCTTGTTTCTTCTTCAGAGAGGTATAATCTGATGTAGAACCAAAAAAAAAAATAGAGAGGTATAGAACCAAGTTATTCAATCATATTTAGAACAAAAAAAAAATTAGATCAAAAAATTTAATAAATTAGAACACAAAAATTAATAATCAATCATACTTACATAATGTTAATAATCAAAAAATTAATTAGAACAAAATTATCCCTCAACAGAAGAATGTTAATCAAAAAAATTAATTAGAAGTTTAAAACAAAGTTATTCCTCAACAGAATGTTAATAATCACAAATATTATTTTTAATAATCAAAAATATTATTTTTTATGCTTATAAGAAAATGAGTTCATCAAGCAGTTTAGGTTCATCTGCTGCAAGTGCTTCTACTTCTTCCATTGATCAATTTGGAGATGAAAATGCTCCTCTTTGGGGCTGTGTTACAAAATTAGTTAAAAGGGGAGAAGGAGGAAATGGTAATACAAAATTTAAGTGTAATTTTTGTAACATTGAGTACCAATGGTCATATTCTAGAGTTAGAGCCCATTTGTTGCTACTTACTGGCCATGGAATTAGAGTGTGTGCAATTGTGAAGAACAAGAGTGATCTTCTTTCTGAAATTTGAAAGGTAGATCAAGAAGCTGAGAACCGGAAAAAAATGGCAAAGCCAAAAAATGTTCCTTTACCACCTCCATCTTCTCAAATTAATGCTAGCCACAGCGGTGTAGAAGATATTAGAACATTTAGAATGGAAGGTTATGCACCAAGAAAGAGAAAGGCAATTGGGAGTAGTCCTTTAGATAAGGCATTCAATCAAAGTGCTAGAAAACATTTACATTCTTTAATTGCTCGTATGTTCTATTCAGCCGGTTTGCGTTTCCATTTGGCTAGGAATCCATACTTTGTGGATGCTTTTCAATATGCTGCAGAGAATCAAATTGTTAGGTATGTCCCTCATGGATATAATTTGTTGAGGACTACCTTACTTCAAAAAGAAAAGGCAAATATTGAAAGGTTATTGGAACCAACTAAAAAGTCATGGGATGAGAAGGGGTTGAGTATAGTATCTGATGGATGGACTGATGCACAAAGGAGGCCTCTCATTAATTTTATGGCAGCATTTAATGGTGGAGCTATGTTTATAAAAGCTGTTAATTGTGAGGGTGAGACCAAGGACAAGTATCATATTGCCAAATTAATTAGTGAAGTGATTGATGAAGTGGGTCCTAATAATGTAATTCAGATAATTACTGACAATGCTCCTATTTGTAGTGCAGCTGGACCAATTATTCAAGGTAATTATCCGAAGATCTTTTGGACACATTGTGTAGTGCACACTCTTAATCTTGCTCTTAAGAACATTTGTGCTGCGAAGGAAATTGGAGTTGCTGCATATGCTTATGATGAATGCCATTAGATCACTACTGTGATTGATGATGTAATGTTTGTGAAAAATTTCATCATGAATCATTCTATGAGATTAGTTATTTTTAATGAGTTTGTACGTTTGAAGCTACTTTCTGTTGCAAATACACGCTTTGCATCTGCAATTGTTATGCTAAAAAGGCTTAAACTTATATATCATGGTCTCCAAACAATGGTGATAAGTGACAAATAGGCTTCTTACAAGGAAGATGATGTTGGGAAAGCAGCTGTTGTAAAAGAAAAGTTGTTGAATGATGTTTGATGAGATAAGATTGAATATATACTCTCATTCACATTGCCTATTTATGAGATGCTTAGATTTTGTGACACCGATAAGCCATGTCTACATTTGGTTTATGAGATGTGGGATTCAATGATTGAACAGGTGAAGGCATCCATCTATAGGCGTGAAGGGAAGTCAGAAAATGAAAAGTCATCCTTTTATTCTGTAGTGCATCAAATATTAGTGGAAAGGTGGACAAAAAGTAGCACACCTCTTCATTGCCTTGCTCATTCTTTGAATCCAAGGTATAATTCACATTTGACTCATGAATCCAAGGTTTATACTTTAATTTTTTTCATTGCATAATTTACTTATTATTTTTTTCTAATTATGAAATCTAGGTATTATAGTGGGATGTGGCTTCATGAAAATCCCATTCGTGTTCCTCCTCACAAAGATGTTGAAATTTCTGAGATGAGAATCAAGTGTTTTAAAAGATACTTTCCTGATTCAGATGAGAGAAGGGTTGTTAATATAGAGTATGCAAAGTTTTCAGGTTGTTTAGAAAGTTTTAGTGACTTTGACTCAATATGTGATAGAGGGGTAATGGAACCAATGGTTTGGTGGTTGGCACATGGCTCTTCTGCACCTATGCTCCAATCTTTGACAGTGAAATTACTTAGCCAACCATGTTCCTCATCATGTTGTGAAAGGAATTGAAGCACCTACTCTTTCATTCACTCTATGAGGAGGAATAAAATGACACCACAACGGTGCAAGGATTTGATTTTTGTGCACTCCAATATTCGCCTCTTATCAAGGAGGAGTCAACTATACACAAAAGGAGAGACCAAGTTATGGGACGTTGGGGGAGATGCATTTGATTCATTAGAGGGTTCTGGTTTCCTTAAAATTGCAAATCTTTCACTTGATGAGCCAGAGATGGAAGCTATTTTATTCAATGATGAAGTTGATGGAAGTGAACTTTGAAGTGTCAAGCTTAGATATATAGGACTTTCTTTTGTTTGTTTTCCTTCGCTTGTGTTATGGACTGAATTGGCCTTGTTTTTCTTTTGGTGTTGGTTGTTTTTCCTTTGCTTGGATTATGGACTGAATTGGTGTTGGTTATGTTGAATTGAAATATACTAATATTTGTCTTTTAGTTTTATAGTTCTCTTTTTAGTTTTGATATTTAATTTCAATTTGTAGGTTGGATCTTTTAACCATAATTATAAAAAATAAAAATAATAAAAAAATATCGGCGTACCGCAGCCGTACCCGTATCTTACTTTTTTGGGGTTTTGCCTTATCGGCGTACCCGCACTCGTATCTATACCATACTCATACCCGCACCCGTGCTTCTTAGGATGATTCAAATTATCGAAACGGGACCCATAGTGAGCCCATAAGTCCAAAAATACGCTTCAATCTACTACGTAGACGGGAGAGAAGCCATCTCCTTAATAACAAAAACTAGTACAATGTATGGAGGTCTTGAAAATGTGGTGCTCCAAATATATACTGTGGCCAATATTGTATATATGGTTGATATATAATAATTTAATCAAGTACTTGTCATTTTGAAATTATTACAGGAAACTTGTTTTTGATCCACCATAGTTTGTACATTCTAATTGTCAACTCAACTCTATAGGAACACCCATAGAGCACCACCTCTCCTATGGTGCACCCAAAAAAACTCAAACCCAATAGCTCTCTCTCTCTACATCAACCAGGGATTCCTTTAACAGAGATCCAAACTCCCTCTCCCCCTCCCTCTCATTTTCACCCAATAGTACTCTACCGATAAATACATATTTTCTGTGTGTTATTTTCAGTTTAGGGTTGTCGTAAGAGAGATAGAGAGAGTGATGTTGGTGGTCACTGCTTGTGCATCTGACCATCAATTGTCTCATTGGTGGTGTTGGATTGGGCTCTACACAGTAAGATGGACATGAATTGTAAAAGAAGATTATATTGAATACAAACAAGGGCATTATGGTAATTTTATTTTCAAATTTGGGTAAATTACACTGACACCCCCTGAGGTTTATATTTATTACAGTTCTCCCCTCACCTTTTGAAAATTACATCTCCCCCTAAGGTTTAAAGTTTTATTACAGATTTCCCTCTTCAACAATTTAATTTTTTTAAATACCAATTTTGCCCTCATTAAGTAAATTACATTGACACCCCCACATTTTAAAAATTACAATCCCCTCCCCAAAGTTTAAAGTAACATTACCAATTGCCCCCTCAGTTAGTATTAGTTGGAAAAAAAATTAATTGGAAAAAAAATTAATTGAAAAAAAAATTAATTGAAAAAATTTTTTGTTAGTAAAATTTTTAAATTTTTGTTTAAAAACTAATGTAAACTCATTTTTTGAATTTAGGTTTTTTCCTTAAATTTACAAACTGAGACAACCATTTATAAACCAAAAAAAATTATTAAACAAGTTTTTATGACAGTTTTTAAAATTTTTGTAAATATAAATTGAAAACTAAAAACGAAATGGTTACCAAACAGACCTCAGATGGTAAAAATGTCGTAAAATTAACAAATAATTAAATAAGTTACCAATGTAAGAAATGACTTATCAAAAGATTTTTAGGTTATATATGGTTTGATTTTTAGAATTTTTTTTAAAAAAAATTAAAAATTAATTTGGTTAAGAAATAAAAAATAAAAAATAATTATCATTTAAGGGTAAAAAATAATTATCATTTTAACTTTTGGGAAGGTTATATGCACACGTATGATTGTTTCAATTTAATTTGTAACAAATTATTTCTAATATATATAGATAAAAATTATATAAAAATGATAATTATTTTTTATTTTTTATTTCTTAACCAAATTAATTTTTAATTTTTAAAAAATATTTCTAAAAAACAAACCATACATAGCCTAAGAATATTTTGATAAGTCATTTCTTAAATTGATAACTTATTTAATTATTTGTTAATTTTACGACATTTTTACCATCTAAAGCCTGTTTGGTAACCATTTCATTTTCAGTTTTCAACTTTCAACTTATATTTACAAAAATTTATAAAGCTGTCATAAAAACTTGTTTGATAATTTTTTTGGTTTATAAATGGTTGTCTCAGTTTGTCAATTTGAGAAAAAAACGCAAATTCAAAAAATGAGCTTATGTTAATTTTTAAACAAAAATTTAAAAAATTTACTAACAAAATTTTTTTTCAATTAATTTTTTTTTTCAAATAATTTTTTTTCCAATTAAGTTTTTTTTCAATGAATTTTTTTCCAACTAATACTAACTGAGGGGACAATTGGTAATGTTACTTTAAACCTTAGGAAGGTGATTGTAATTTCAAAATGTGAGGGGTGTCCATTTAATTTACCTAGTGAGGGCAAAATTAGTATTTAAAAAAATTTTGCTGAGGAGGAGAATCTGTAATGAAACTTTAAACCTCAGGGAGAGATGTAATTTTCAAAAGGTAAAGAAGAGAACTGTAATAAATATAAACCTTAAAGGGTGTCAGTATAATTTACCCTTCAAATTTTATCCTACCAATGTCATCAAGCGTCTTACCCAAGGATGTGCAACATGCGTTGCCATTGCTTGGGGAGTGGGTTTGGGACTAAAATAATCACAAAAAATAAAATAGGTTTTTTAATCTTAATAAAACAAAATATCACATTCAACATATAATCATTACATTCTTTCTCTCACAAAAAAGTTAAAAAAGTCAAAAACATTTCTCAAATCAAGCTTTTTAGTCACAGATTAAAATAGCCAAAAAAATCAAAAAGTCAAAATATCAACCCACTTCCTAAACCATGCCTATATAGATTCTCTTACAACAAGAAGGTTATGTATACATTTCCAAACTAGAAAAGGGTAAATTGTTTTTGGACTAAATTATAAGTAGATAAAATGTAATTTACCCTTATTTTTTTTCCGATAAATTACACTTTGCCCACTTAAAGTTTCACTCATTTCTCACTTTGGCTGTTTAAATTTGATTTTTTTTCACTTTGGCCCTTCATATTTACAATCCTTACCATTTTGGCTCTTTAAGTTTAATTTTTTCAACTTTGGCCCTTCATGTTTTCAATCATTCTCACTTTGACATTTTATATTTGCAATACTTTTCACTTTACTTCTAGCTAACTTCCATTCATAAAACTAACAGAATATGCCACATCACCAACATATCAGCTCCATGTGTGATGTAAAAATTCACAAAAGATGCAAAAAAATAAAAAATAAAAAATAAAAAACAAAAAGATTGAAATTTTTTTTAGTCTTTAGTGAGTCATTGTAACAACCCTCATACTGTTTACCGATTAATGACTGACTGATTACCAATAAACGACTGACTGATTACCGATAAACATTGATTACCGTTAAACTGAACTAATTATGACTGATAATTGGACCGGTTAAAGTACTGAACTGACTGATTGAAAACTGGAACTGAATTGACTGAGTGTGTATATTAAATTGTATTCTATCTGTTTGATTGATTATTTGCTCTGTTTGTGTTTTATGTTTAAACTGCTAATTGAAGGCCTTATCGGCGGCCGAATCCGGAATTGATTGAAGTTTTATGATCATCATAATTTGTGTGATTTTATGGTGTAATTATCTGAAAACTGATTAGGTATGATTAAATTAGATTAAACATTGATCAATTGCAAACTTTGACTTATTTACCAAACTTGCCACTAAGTGGGCCACTATCTCACACATTGAGCCTTACACTTGATCATAACATAATTCCCTCAACCCTTTTCTTGAGCCTTGCCGACCTAGAGAGTAGAGAGGGAGAGAAATTGGTTTTTCACCTTGAATTGCTTGGAAACTTGAAGAATTGCTTGGTAATTGAAGTGTAGATTGCTAAATTGAACCTCTAGACTTGCATTCAAGGAACCTAGGTAAGGATTCCATCTTCTCATTCTTGTGTTTGAGCTAAGTCTTGCATGGTCCATGATAAATTGTAGAGCTAAGCCATGTTTTGGTTCATACATGTTGACACAGAGCATAATTCATGCATGCATGTTTGAATTGTTGGATTTTGAGTTGAGTTCATGGCAAATTGTTGCATGCATGTCCATGTTTTGAGTGTAGGCCATGATTTCATCATGTTTTGGAAATAATTAGCTCTTTAGAGCATTAAATTGAAGCTTTAAATTGGTTTGAATTCACGCTTGTTTGCATGTTCATCTTGTTCTTGAAATTGATTTGAAATTGAGTTTGAACTAAACACCCTTGGGCCTTGATTCCTCAAATTGAGCTTTGAACAATGTTATTCTATGTGTTTATAAAGGTTTTCCAGAAAAATGGGCCCAAGATGATTGGTTTTGATGCATTTGAACTCGGTTTTGAGCTTGGAGGTGCAATCTGGAATTTTCAGATTCTGCACTTCCGCTCGAGCAGGGGAAGTGACGCTCGAGCGTGGAATCCGAGCATCCAGTATCTCTGCACTGTTTTACAGTCCGCTCGAGCGGAATCATGTGTCTCAAGCTCGAGCAGGCGTCGAGCGTCCGTCGAGCGGAGATTCCACCCATCCAGCACTTTTGACTGTTTTTGCAGAACGCTCGAATGGGTAATTCTACGCTCGAGCAGGTACCTTTGTCTGCATGTCCGCTCGAGCGGAGTGACCTACGCTCGAGCGTGAACCCTGTTTTCTGAAAAATTCGAAAATGCTTTTAAAAGTACATCTTTGCATCCTCATCCCATTCTAGGCAT